CAATCCCTCCCAGCATCAGGGTCTTTTCCAATGAGTCAGCTCTTTGCATCAGGTGGCCAAAGTATTGGAGTTTCAGCTTCAGCATCAGTCCTTCCAATGAACACCCAGGACTGATCTCCTTTAGGATGGACTGGTTGGATCTCCTTGCAGTCCAAAGGACTCTCAAGAGTCTTCTCTAACACCACAGTTCAAAAGCATCAATTGTTTGGCACTCAGCTTTCTTCACAGTCCAACTCTCACATCCATACATGACCACTGGAAAAACCATAGCCTTGACTAGGCGGACATTTGTTGGCAAAGTAATGTCTCTGCTTTTTAATATGCTATCTAGGTTGGTCATGAGTTTCCTTCCGAGGAGTAAGCGTCTTTTAATTTCATGGCTGCAGTCACCATCTGCAGTGATTTTGGAGCCCAAAAAATAAAGTCTGACACTGTTTCCACTGTTTCCCCTGATTCATATCAATGTATGGCAAAAACCACTACAATATTGTAAAGTAATTAGCTTCCAATTAAAATAAATAAATTCATTTAAAAAATCTTTTATAAAATTAACTCTCCATAATGATCAAAATTGATTGCTTCACATGAGAAAAAATGCTCAATGTTGCTAATTATTAGAGAAATGCAAATCAAAACTACAATGAGGTATCACCTCAGAGCAGTCAGAATGGTCATCATCAAAACATCTACAAACAATAAACCCCAGAGAGGGTGTGGAGAAAAGGGAGTCCTCCTACACTTTTGGTGGCAATGTAAATTGGTGCAGCCACTGTGGAAAAACAATATGGAGGTTTCTTAAAAAACTAAAAATAGAACTACCATATGATCCAGCAATCCCACTCCTGAGCATGTATCTGGCAAAATCACAATTCAAAAAGATACATGCATCCCAATGTTCCCTGCAGCACTATTTACAACAGCCAAGACGTGGAAGCAATCTAAATGTCCACTGACAGAGGAATGGATAAAGAGGATGCACTATACACAAACAGACACACAATGCAATATTGCTCAGCCATGAAAAAGCATGCAATAATGCCATCTGCAGCAACGTGGATGGACCTAGAGATTATCATGCCAACTGAGGTAAGTCAGAAAGAGAAAGACAAACACCACACGATGTCACTTATATGTGGAATTTTTAAAAATGGCACAAATGAATTTATTTACGGAACAGAAATGGACTCACAGACTTCTAAGACAGACTGTGGCTATCAAAGGGGGAAGGCTGGAGGAGGAGTGAAGGAGGAGATTGGGATTGAAAAAAAATAACAAATTGTAGTAAGGGCATTTCATTTCACCAAACTTTCATTTCCATCTACGTATTTTTAAAATATGAGGGTGTGTGAGTTTATGTAAACATGCAGAAGTATATGTGCATGAAACAAATGTGTATGTAAATAAGTACTAAGTCTGAACCACTATAAGATGAATTTTTCATGGTGTGTAATAGTAGAAAAAAGGGGTTACAAACTCTCCTTTGTAAATGTTATTTTCTTCTGGTTTGTACACTAATTGAAATAAAGCTATTTAGAATGTTAGAAAATAAAAAAAAGGGAGGGAGCCTGCTGCACAGCGGGGCTGGAGAGGCTGCGGGAGGCGGGGCACAGATGCTGCTGCGGCCCGGCCGAGCCCGCCCTGCTGGGGAGCTGCACACGTTCCTTTCTCACGTCCGCGGTCAGTTCTGCTCCCTCCCGTGGAAGTGAGAGCCTGCCCTGCCTCTTCTAGCCAGCCCTCCTGGACCAAGTCCTCCCCGTGAACTTCACTTCCTTAAGACCCTTCCGTCGGCCTGCAGGATGCCACCCAGGTGCAGGAGTGGCCTCCCCGACACCAGGCTGTTGACATCTTCCAGGGCATCCCTGCTGGCCCTGCCTGTCCTCTGCTCCCCACTTCCTGTCCAGGGCTCCTCACACCCATGTTCTGCTCATGGGCCCACAACCTCCCCTCTGCCCATCCCAGGTCCTTGCACTGGCTGCCTGGCCTCGGCCTGCGGCTCTAGCCTCTGGTCTGTGGTTCTACAGAAATGCAGGGCATTCCCACAGGAACACGTGGCCATATGCTCTGCCCACTTCCCCATCCTCGCCTCTGACTCACCACCCTAGACACCCTGACTTTCCAGCTATTCCTAAAGCCTCACGTTCAAGGGCACCTGTGTGCCAGGCACAGCACAAGTCTCATCTCAGGAGGCCTCATGCCAATCCCGAGACTCAGGGCCATTTGATGGTTGAGGAAACGGGCTCAGTGGAGTCAGCTGACTGTGTGGGGAATAGCAGGGCCCTGGTTTGAGCCGGATGCCAAGTGAGAGTCCCAGAGATGGAGTAGTTTTGTAGGGTGGATTGTGGCCAAGCTGGGGGTGACTACCACTGCCACTTATAGTTCCCAGTGGAGGCTGAGCAAAGAGTCAGTCAAGACAGGGTTTGCCCATGCACAGAGCTCGAAATAAGCCGCAAATTCGCTGCACGTTGCTGACATCACATCCTTTTGAAGGTCAGTGGTGCAGTGGGGCTGAAGGGAAGGGAGGAGATGGATTCTGAGGATGAGAAGCTGGGTAGAGGCTGGTACCATTCCTGGGGGCCCTGAGGGTGAGAACACTCCACTGACTCAATTTGGTTGTAGAAGTCAAACCTGTGAGCAGACATTGCTCCTTTCAGGGCCAGCAATGTTCCTTCAGGTGAGAGCTGCAAAATGGAAAAGCGCTCCACCCCCTGTTTAGTCATTAGAAGCCCAGTCAGTGGATCAGACTGAACTGAACACTGGGTCTAGTTAAAATGCTCAGACCCCACAAGTAGGGACTTCCCTGGTGGCTCAAATGGTAAAGAATCTGCCTGCAATGCAGGAGACCCGGGTTCGACTCCTGGGTCAGGAAGATCCCCTGGAGAAGGAAATGGCAACCCACTCCAGCATTCTTGCCTGGAGAATCCCATGGACAGAGGAGCCTGGCAGCCTGCAGTCCATGGGGTCACAAAGCGTCAGATATGACTGAACAACGAACACTTTCACTGCCTTCCCACAAGGAGGCTTGGGTCAGGTCCTCCCTTGCTCATCCTTTCATTGACGAGCACCTTAGCAGCATCTTTTGATGGAACAATCATGACTCTCACAAGCAGAGCTACACAGCCCATCAGAGGCAGAGACCATCCTCATTTCTGAGCCGCCCCTAGGGCCCCAGTTTCTTGAGTGTCCACCTTGCCTGCACAATCACATAAACACAGAGGGGGCAGAGAGTTAAAGGCAGCAGTTCCTACTCTGCTTTCTTCTGCTGTCATAAATCTGCAGACTGAAGAAGCAAACAGAAATATCCCCAGCTCAGAGATCCTCTGCCAAATTCAGCAGCAAGATATTTGGGGATTGTTGACCCGAGATTTTCCCGTCTGTCTGTCCTTGGTCCCCAATCCCTGGCTCCTTTCCAGAAAGTGACACCTCTTTGCTTCTCGCCCACTTGGACCAGTGGGGAATTTCTCCTTAGTGGTGGCCTCTGCCACTGGGTCATTACTGGGCAAGCGGCCCTTCGACTTTGTCAATCAAGAGATCAATTCCCCTTTATCATCGTAACTTCTGTTTCCAGTTGGGCCCTTGGCTGTCCTGCACGTCTTCTCGTTCAGAATCCCCTCGTCTCTGAGAACTCATTCATGCCACGGCTTTAACCACCACCACTGAACTCGTGATAGAGGGATGAGGCGATTTCAGCGAGCCCAGCACACAGTAGGCTGCTTAGTAAAAGTTCACTACCGATGCCTCCCACTGGCACTTAGCAAAACCACCTCTAGGAAGGAACCCTTTCTCTATTGTTTTCTCTCTGCTCTCTCCTGCTGGCTAGGTGTTAATTTCCACTTGGCCTCAGTTTCTTTATTTGTAAGATGTGGAATTTCCATCTTGCTGGATACACATTAAATGGTCTCACTAAGATGCTCTAAAGAGCGAGAGGACAGATGCACACCTGGAGTGGGACTCACTCCCCGCCCCTCTCTACGGACTAAAATACTTCCCAGTCTTTGAGCTCCCACGTGGGGGGTGGGAGACTGTCCACTTGGTGCTCCCTCTGGTCTTTTCTCTCCTCTTTATTTTTAAAGCCCTTACAGTCAGATGCACACAATTCAAAGCTTCGAACTCATCCACTTTGTTTCCTCTCCTGAAACAAAGAGCATACTCATCTCTCTCCTCCTGAAAAGAGAAGGGGGGAGTGACATAAAGGCTATGTCTGTATTATAAATATCTTTTCCCCATTCTCTTTAAAATGTCTGGTTCTAGGCTGCTGACATGTTCAAAAGAAGCAGACTGACTGGTTGATAAAAGAATTTCCATCCCAAGAAATTTTACGCTATTATTTTTTCTAGTTGGTTACACACAACATTGTGTAACAAATAATATCCATGGATCAGAAAAGAAGGAAAAGTCACTCTGCATTCCACTCCTGTTGCATCTTAGTGGGTGGATCTTTTTCCCTTTCATTTTATGTCCTTACACGCCAAGGATTTATACAAAGCTGTGATCACAGTGTAGCTGGAATTTGGCATGCTGCTTTTTTCCCTCAATATGCTACTATGGATATTTTTTCATTTTCTGACAGAGTCTTCATAACTAGCATTCTTTTTTTTAGGGGCTGCATAATACTCAAGTGTGTGGGTGTAGTGTAATCTACTGAGCCATTTCCCTTCTGTTACTGATGGGGGCTGTTCTGGATTTTCGCTATTACAGACGATGCTGTAATTCACCCTGTTGGTCCATCCTGGGCGCCTACAGTGAGGCAGAAGCAGCGCTTGGCTCTGCAAACAGGCAACATGGACCTGTGGCTTTTATCTTCTTTTGGATTATTTCCTGAGGGTAGGATTCATGGGACAGAGAGTATAAATATACCTGTGACTTCTCAAGTCATTTTTAGGCTAATCCTAGGACCTCTACTTAAAAACTCAAGGAAGTGTTGGAGGTCATGTTTGCAGGATGGTGGTCGGATGAGATGACTCTCAGATGCTGTTATCTTCTGCTTTTCTGACATCAGCAGAAATCGTCGATTCTGGGCTAACGGGAGCAGGTCAAGTGCAGTGAGGGGATGAGGTGATGGTGCAGCTCCTGGGGTGTGGGGACCACAGAGGCTCCCTGGTATGGACTGTCTGTCACCTCTTCAGAAGAGCTGCCATCCCCTGCTTCTCTCCTGCTCCCACCTCCCAAATCCTCTGACCACATCCTCCAGCCGCATTGGTCTCCTTGCAGATTCTGGAACTGACCAAGTCTCTCCCGACCCTGGGCCTTAGCACATGCCATTCCCCTTGGTCAGAAACGCTCTTCCTTTGGCCTAATTCTCATCCCTCAGTTCTCAGTCCGAATCTCACCCTTTGATGGATGACATGTCTGATTTCCCCATGTGCCTGTGCTTATTTCACTAGCACCTTGCATTTCTCCACCGGAGTGCACACCAAAAGTGCAAAGCAATGAACCTTTCAATATCTTTTGTCCTGTCTTCCCCACTGAGACTGTCAGCTCCATGAAGACAGTGATTCTCAAGGTGGTTTCTGCTGGACCTGCTACCCTAGCAGAGTACCCGGCCCACCACAGATACTTGGTACTGACTAAGCTGGTCAGGGCAGGAACAGAGGAGAGGATGCTTGCAAAAATATCGCTTCAGAGGATGAAAGAAAAGAGGACCGGGGGATCAGATCACAGCTTGAAAGATGCAAGTTAAAGGAAGGAAGGAGCTTCCGTTGTGGCTACTCAGTAAACAATCTGCCTGCCAAAGCAGGGGACTTGGGTTCAACTCCTGGTCCGAGAAGATCCTAGACGCCACGGAGCAACTAAGCCCATGCCCACAGCCACTGTGCCTGAGTGCTGCGACTCCTGAAGCCTGTGCCCCCAAAGCCTGTGCCCCACAAGAGAAGCCAACACGAGACGCCCGAGCACCACAACCAGAGAGTCACTCCCACTCGCTGCAGCTAGAGAAAGCCTGCGAGCAGCATCATCAAAGGCCCAGCGAGCCAAAAAAAAAGAATAAAGAACCACCTGAGGTGTACAAAAGCAGGCAAAAGTATATTCTGAAAGTCTTTCAGACTGCTATACATAAAACAGATAAGCAACAAAGATTCACTGTATAGCACAGGGAATTCTATTCAATATCCTGTAAAACTATACTGGAAAATATAATCATCCATACTTAAATTTTTTACAAAATGCCTGCGATCTCTGGACATCTGAGAAATGGATGGTGAAGTTCTAATATCTAGCTTTAAAGCTCTCTTTTCACACCTCATGGGAAATACTGGGGCAACCTTAAATAGCATGTAGATCTCCTCATTCAAAAATCTAACAACAAATGGGAGAATTCAGACCATCAGAAGGCTTTCTTTTCCAAGAAGCTTCCCAAGTTTCACCTAATCTGCTCCAAATCTATCACTTCAAGCAACCAGATCTCCCGTCTTGCAGCCCTTCAATTTTTCATCTTAATCAGGGATGTGGAGAAAATGGTTTCTTTGTTATGATTCTAGCTGGACAACTTAATCCTGTGTAGCTTACAGTTTTGTGCTGGAAACTGAAAATACATAAACAGTGGCTCTGGGTTGTGGCTGAATCCTCCCAGGGGCTGTGGGTGGAGCAGGGCCTGGGAATCAGCCTTGAATGCTGAGAATCAGCAGGGCGGAGACCCACAGATCATCTGCAAGTGTGGCAGCAGCTGGGTGTGCCATCTGATTCCCTGTGGTGGGTGCACATGGCCATGATCAATAGCTTCAGGGTCACAGGTGGAATGCGGATCCGATTATAAACCAAAGTCTCCCTGTGGAGACCGCAACAGCCAGCAGACTGACACCTCTGCCTTCAGGCTCCCGTCTCCCATTCATTCTCCCTGCAGCACCAGCGACTGTTCCAAACCCGTGTCCCATTTGTTACCACCGTGGTCCTTTGGTGGCTCTCAGTCACACCCAGGTTGGAGTCCACGCTCCCTGGGGCTGTTATGTGAATGAGTGAGAAATAAACTTCTCTGTGTTATGGTAGTGTTGGAGCAGCTCTTACAATTCAGCTTGGTGAGTTACTTAACTTCTCAGATCCTTGGGTTTATCCTCTCCAAAATGGGGATAATAATAAGGCTGTTGAGAGGATTAGATGAGCAAATTCCATGTGAAATAGCCCAGAGCTAGTAATATGCATGTTCATCATTATGGCATTATGACTCAGAAAGAGTGTGTGCATGCTCAGCTGCTGCGTCGTGTCTGACTCTGCGACCCCACGGGCTGTAGCCTGCCAGGCTCCTCTGTCCATGGGATTTCCCAGGCAAGAACACTGGAATAGGTTGCCGCTTCCTTCTCTGGAGGATCTTCCCAACCTAGGGATCAGCCGGAGTTTCCTGCGTTGGCAGGCAGGTTCTTTACCACTGAGCTGATGACTGTTATTAGCCCTCCTCTAAATGATGCTCCTGTTCTTTAAGAGGGGGCTTCCCTGATAGCTCAGTTAGTAAAGAATCCACCAGCAATGCAGGAGACCCCGGTCTGATTCTTGGGTTGGGAAGATCCCCTGGAGGAGGGATAGGCTACCCACTGCAGTATTCTTGGGCTTTCCTGGGGGCTCAGCTGGTAAAGAATCCGCCTGAAGTACGGGAGACCTGGGCCTAGACAGTACATGGGGTCGCAAAGAGTCAGACACGACTGAGAGAAATTCTCTAAGAGAGAAGCGCAAGGACCATCCCGGTGCCTTTAGAACAAGCATCTTACCGCTTCACGTCCTGCACATAGTCTGCATTTCTGTCCAAGAGGTGGGTCACGGAGTCCTTGATGGCTTCATGCTTGAAAGTAGAAGCCGTTCCAAAGACAGTCACGCTGGGGACAGTGGAACACAGCTGAGCCACGGCTTGGCCCTAGAAGTGAAATATCACAGACAAGTCACACAGGAGAGCCACCACCCGACAGCTAGTCTTGCTGGGTGAAAAGCAGGATTTCTCAGCCTTGGCACTATTGACCTTTTTTTGGCTGGATTGGTCTTCATTGCAGGGGGCTGAACTGTGCATTGTGAGATGTTTAGCAGGGTCCCTGGCCTCCACCTACTCAGTACCAGCAGCAAGCCCCCAGCTGTGACACCCAAAAATATCTCCAGTCAACATCGCTCACTACTAGAGAGATGCAAATCAAAATTATAGTGAGATACCACCTCATACTGGTCAAAACAGCCATCATCAAAAAATGCACAAACAAAAAATTCTGGAGAGGGTGTAGAGAAAAGGGAACCCTCTTGCACTGTTGGTGGGAATGTAAATTGAAACAGCCACTATGGAGATACCTTTAAAAAAACTAGGAATAAAACTACCATAGGACCCAGCAAGTCCTACTACTGGGCATATACCCTGAGGAAACCAAACTGAAAAAGACACAGATACCCCACTGTTCATTGCAGCACTATTTACAATAGCTAGGGCATGGAAGCATCCTAGATGTCTATCAACATATGAATGGATAAAGAAGCTGTGGTGCATATACACAATGAGACATTACCCAGCCATAAGAAGGAACACATTTGAGTCAGTTCTAATGTGGCGGATGAACCTAGAGCCTATTATACAAAGTGAAGTAAGTCAGAAAGAGAAGAACAAGTATCGTATATTGGCACACATATACGGAATCTAGAAAGAGATACTGATGAAGCTCTGTGCGGGGCAGCAGTGGAGATGCAGACAGAGAGCAGATTGATGGACACAGGGGTAGGGAGGAAGGAGAAGGTGGGACAAGGGGAAACATGGACACTACCGTGTGAAAAAGAGCCCACGGGAATTTGCCGTATGACTCAGGGAGATCAAACTGGGGCTCTGTGACAACCTAGAGGGGTGGGATGGGCTGGGAGGTGGGGCGGAGGTTCAGAGGGAGGGGACATACGTGTATCTGTGGCTGATTCACGTTGGTGTATGGCAGAAACCAATACTGTGGAACAATTACCTTGCAGTTAAAGAATAAATGAATTAAAAAAATATCCTCAGACATTTCAAAATGTCCCCTGGGAAACCCAATCTCCCCTGGTTGAGAATCACTGGTATAGAGGAAGGAGAACCAGCAAAACCCTGGTATCAAGACAGAACAATGATCATTTAACCATCTGGACTTTAGGTTCTCCATCTATAAATCAGCACTAATATTACCTACACCCCAGGGATCTTGGAGGATGTCCTAGTTTGGATTCCCCAGAAGCAGATCCTGAGGCAAGGATTTTAAGAGCAAGTCCTTTATCTGGAATAGGATCACAGGAAATACCCCAGGGTATTAAGACATAAATAGAAGGCAGTCAATAAACAAATCAACCCTGAATATTCATTGGAAGGACTGTTGCTGAAGCTCTAATACTCTGGCCACTTGATGCACAGAGTTGACTCACTGGAAAAGACCCTGATGCTGGGAAACATTGAGGGCAGGAGGAGAAGGGGGCGACAGAGGATGAGATGGTTGGATGGCATCACTGACTCAATGGACATGACTTTGAGCGAACTCCGGGAGATGGTGAAGTTCAGGGGAGCCTGGTGTGCTGCAGTCCATGGGGTCACAAAGAGTCCGACATGACTTAGTGACTGAACAACAAACAACAACAGCCTTTGTCTGGAATAGGACTGCAGGAAACACCAGGATATCAAGACAGAAATAGGAGGCAGCCAATAAAGGGTGTGTTTATCAAGTCAACATCCACCATGGTAACTGGAACTGGGTCCCTCTGAGGAACTCCATGAGCAAATGTAGATTACACCTGGGATTATCCGAACCAAGTGGTGAGGAAGCTGGAATATTTGTCCACCAAATTTTCATCTGATATGGGTTCAGGGCTGCTTCTGCAGCAGTAACCCTTTGGCATGTCTGGCTTGCCCTTAGAGACCAAGTGTGCTTCCACAGTCAGTTAGGAGCCCTGAGTGAGCAAACTGCAGCATGCTGAGTGCAGAGAAGGTATGATGTGCCTGACAGCATCTGCTCCGGGGGCGTGAAATGAGGTGACGTGTAACACAGGTCGGCGCCTGGCACAAAACATGGTACACAGTCAATGTTAACCACCCATGCCCCATAGTGGCTTATTAAACCCAGAGCTGAGCTGTCCAAGCATATGAAGGAAAACCCAGTATGTGGAGTTTAAATATCAAATAGTTCAAGAGAAATCACAAAAGTAGTTAGGAATGGGTAATCTCCCCATGTCCTTTTTCAGTATGGTCAGAAGTTTGAGTCAGTGGGCAAAATACTACAATCGCATGCATTCACAAACCTTCCAGTAAAACCCAATTTGCTAATTAATTTGCATCCTAAAACCAAATACTATCTTTTTCCAGTGTTCCATCAACCATCTTCATGAGGCAGAAATTATTAAGGAGGGAAATTTTTCCACCAAAGGCATCTGTGATTTGAATTACTGCCTCTCACTTTATTTACATTTTCATGTTGCTGGACTCAATCAGGCTGGCAGGTCAGTTTGTGGCAATACGATTCTTCCCAACATTTGCAATGAAAGGCAACATTGAGAGCATCAGAAAATGTCGGATTTATAAGCTCATCCAGTTACCCCCTCCTCCTCATTGTTTTATAGAGCAGGGACAGGGGACTCTGAAAGGTTAGGGTGACCCAGTTCTTCTGAGGCAGACCTGAGATGCAAAGCAAGGTCTCTTGACTCCCAGCTACTGCCATTTTCTATTATGCCATGTTGTCTACTTATTTTGACATTTCGAGCTAAGTGGACTTTTAAGTTTCCATCTAAAATAGACACATTACTGACATGCTCGCTTGGAGGTCAACATTTTAGAACATGGTCATGAACCTGAGACTCTAGATGGGCTGTTCTTCTCTGCTCTAAGAATAGCTTTGGTATTTTGGTTAATTTCTTTTCGACCCCATGGACTATAGCCCGCCAGGCTCCTCTGTCCATGGAATTCTCCAGGCCAGAATACTGGAGTGGGTAGCCATGCCTTTCTCCAGGGGACCTTCCCAACCCAAGGATGGAACCCAGGTCCCCCACACTGCAGGCGGATTCTTTGCCATCTGAGCCACCAGGAAGCCCTTAGGCAAATCTGACATTTATCCACTCCACTCCTTTGCAGATTCCTACTATATGCTACCTCGTCACACTGTGTAGTAGATGCTGGAGCGGCAGGTTCCTGATACACCTTCATCTCTCTAGCCCCACCGAGGCCTACAGTTGTGTATTGAACTACATCTTAGCAGCCGTCTTCACCCGGCTCTCCAGAAACCACACATCAGACTCAAGCGATCCAAAACATAACTCATGGCTCTCTCCAAATGAGTCACTCCTTGTGTGAGCTTGCGAGGACTGCCGTCACGAAATGCCACAGACTGGGCGGCTTAACCTCAGGACTTTGCTGTTTCACGGTTCTGAGGCTGGAGGTCTGAACTCAGAGTGTCAGCTCCTTCCAATGACCGTGAGGGAGGGAGCAGACCCAGGCCTCCCTCCCCGCTTGCAGATGGCGGTCTTCTCCCTGGGTCTCCTCACACTGGTCTTCTCTCTCTGTGCCCGTCTGTGCCCACAGACCCCCTTCTTGTAAGGATAGCAGTCTTGTGGGTTTAAGGCTTACCCTCGTGGCCGCATTGTAACTCGATGACCTCTGTGAAGATCCTGCCTCCAAACAAGGGCACATTTTGAGGTGCTGGGCTTTAGGATTTTAATTTATGAACTGGACGATGGCAGAGGGACATGATCCAACCCCAAACACTCCTCCCACTGCATTTCCGGCCTCAGTGGGTGGAGCGGCACCATTCACGCCTTGCTAAAGACAGGAAGCGTGGAGTCGTGCTGAACCCCTCTTCCAGCTGGCACAGATGTTGCTTCCACTCACCATCCCTTGTGACCGCCACCTCCTCCCCTGGACTATGACAACACCCCTCTCACCAGCCTGGCTGTTTCCACGTGGACTTCACAGTGTGAAGGGTGATGTTCCTCAAACACACCACTGAACATTTCCTCATGGGCTGCAAGGCTGCCCAACGCCTGTCCTGCCTTCCGGATGAAATGCACACCGTTTACTTGACCGCACAAGGCCGGCCCCCCGGGATCTGACCCAGTCACCTCACTAAGAGACAGCCGCCGCCTTGCCAATATCCACTCCCTAGCTACACACACTTGAGCCATCGCTGACAGTGGCCCTGACCTCCATCCCAGGCATTCTCAGAACAAGCCTTCAACCTTTTACTGAGGAAGGAGCTGAGGTTCCCGGAGGCCAGGGGCCTGGGCCAAGGCCACCAGGTGCGATGTGGCAGAGCTTGATGTGCTGTGCTCACCGGCTGAGCGACCCTGAGTAACCGTCCACTCCTCTGCATTTTATAGCATGCACATCACATGGCATGCTATATAAATTCTAAGACTGCTGGAGGACACAATGCATCCACAGGCTTAGCACAGGGAACACTCAATAAGCATCTGCACTCATTACCACTAGGCCTCCCATTGCCATTTTTCTCCATATTATTATGGTTATACGGGCAGGGGGAGCAGACCCACGATCTACCCTGCAGCCCCGCATGCTGTTTGCACCAGTGCCGGTTTCCCCAAATGCTTCCCTTCTCCTGTCACGACCTGGTTGTCCACTCCCTTCTGCAGCTCACAGTACTCGCTCTGAGGCCGCCCGTCTGCCCAGCATCCCAGGCAGAACCTCTGCCCTCTTCCAGGGCCGCCACTGAACGTCCTCCAGGACAGCAGCCACCACTGCTTTCTGCGGCTGCTCGCTGACCCATCATGCACCTCAAGGGGTCCGAGACGGTGCCTCGTGGGCTCCGCACCCCAGTGCCCAGGGAAGAGCCTGGCACGGAGCGGGTGTTTGGTAAAATGTGTTGAATCGACGCACGAGAAATAACAGGGGGTTGACGTAATGGGGAAGCCCCTTGTTACTTT